ATTTATATATACATAATAAATATACACAGTACACATACATATATTATGTAAACAAAAACTTTTATTTTGGATACGATTAATCGCGATTAATCGTTTGACAGCACTAGTTTAAATATGAAATAAAAAAGTTTAATAATACCTGTACAAATGTAAAGTTCTGCATGATCAATACAAACACATTACTGTTTGTATCAATGATTCAGCACTTAAGTCTGAGACTAACCAAGCTCAAAGAAGGTCAGCGACCCTTAAAGGTCAGTGCGTCTTTCTCCAAACTCTCTCATGAGAGCACAGACCCACAAAATACTCTCTTTTGTGAGTGTAGAAGCAAACATGACACCCCACCGTGCCATTTTGATGGCTTCTAATAGTAACACGCACTGATACGGGTCTGGCTTTCTAATCCTGCTGCTCTAAATTGGAAAAATTGACCTTGCTCACAGAGGTGACTCAGATTTGCTCTCTTTGACATTTCTGGGACTTAGCAGAGTTTTCTGTTAAGATGAACAAGGCCCGGAGAACGAGCGAATATTTCATGAGTAATTTAATATCTGGAGCATTCACATGGTCCTCTGTGAATTAGGCTCTGAAAATAGTAGGACGGTATCAGTTGACACAGCACCCCAAGTCTTCAGTTTTGGGGAAAGTCATCAAGGTATGGCCTCAAAGAATATGTGAAAGAAAGAATCAGAATAATTAAACATAATAATGATAATAATATAATGGTCTGGGAAGATAAACTCTTCCCCATCTCACGCTACTACATTTAGGTGACACACAATAGATTTGGTCAGGTATAATTAGCAGATTGACATATGTTTATGTTATTAGATATGGGATTGTGTGGGCACAATAAAACCACCATTAAGCAGTCACAGCTTGTGCAGACAGGCTGATGGTATTGATCTCACCATCGGTTTAGACATGGAGCCCAAGGGCAGGGGTCTGGGGAGCAGCTCTCTGCCACGCTTCAAAACCAGGAGGACAAGATCAAATAAGTAGTTCAGTCAAGCAAATGGCTACCAGTCAATAATTCTCTTTTTATGGCACTGATATCCACTTCAGGCCTGATTCATTATTGAACTGGATCCCAGGCACGTAAGCGATGCAATGCATCTGATATTGTGTCAACAAGGCGATTAAATTACTTTTATAGAGGCACATGCTATTTTTTTTTATTACTATTTGCAAATATTTCTTTTGAATTGTCATTCTGACTGTTGTGGGTTGCTCTCTCATGGAGATTTAGGGAAAAACAAAACAGATATAAAATAATACAATAGAATTTGCTGCCCTCCTGTGACAACTGTTGAACAAATGCAAGATTATCTGCATGTTTAGCCATTAAAATCATACTGTGTTTCATGAAACACAATGTGGTACATTTGGCATGTAACAATTGTTTTTGTAAGAAATAATATATGAAATATATAAAACTGCTTTCTCAAAATAAGATAAATAACAGTCTTTTATACTAATCTATTAAGACAAATAGCGTATTGTGCAAATGGTGCTCTGCATAATCGACTAACAGCATTTTGTTAAATATTTATATTATAATATCTAATATTAATAATTAAAGAATGTAAACTAAAAATAATTATTATATTATATTATATTATAAATTTCATAAATTTCATATAATATATCTAATATATTGTGACGAGTCGGCTGCCTCCCCCTAATTATCATGTCCCTTAATTCCCTTAATCGCCGCCCTTCGCCAGGCTCCAGACAGAAGTGGGTGCGTGAGAGAGGAGGGGCGCTGAAACAGCCAGGGCTGGCGGCGTGTGATGGGGCACACCTGAACCAAATGGAGCCTCATCACCGCCGCTGTTTAAATGCCGGCATAAAGGGACTCCCGTGCCGCCAGAGTCGTGAGCTACCGGACCCGCGGTCCGGACGAGAACCGCACCCGTTAAACGGCCGTCGGGCCAGGAGGCCGGGCCGTCTAGCCCCTTCACACGCCGGGGCCAAGGCGAGAAGGATGCAGCCGCAGGAAGAAGCCGCCGCCCCTCGCGTCCCGGACTGGAGAGGGGAGCGCGTGCGGCCGCCGGACTCCGCCCCTTACCTGGACCCTTCCTTCCTGATCACTGCCCTTCCCTGCACGAAGCCCGCAGCACGACGAGGACACCAGATCCCCTGTTTTATTTCTGGACACTAGTTTCCCCTTTTCCCTGGACACTTTGTTGTTTATATTATTTTGGTAAATAAAAGCCTCTCCGAGGCCTGACGCCACACCCACGGTGTCTGTCGTTTGCTCCTCCCGTGACTATCTATATATATATATATAAACGGAATTAATATAAGGGATTTGTAAAGTTGAAAAGTTTAAACAAAAAAAGTTATGAGGTAAATTCTAAATATGTATATAAAATAAAAATGATGCAAAAAAAACTATAAACTGAATTCAATTCAAGTTTATTTGTACGGCACTTTTCACGATACAAATCATTGCAAAGCAACTTTACAGCAAATTAAGTTTCTACAATATTTAGTGGTAGCTTATCAGTGGTGACTGTCAGTTAATGTACATATGGCAGAAATGTACGGAAAAATCAATTAAAGACGTAATCAAACAGACGATGAACACTATTAACAGCAATTATTATATGATGCAATCAAACTTCTAGCAAAATGTGTTAGTTCTGTAAGTTGTTTCAGGGTTGGCATCATCTGAGGTCCTCTGAGGGGTTGGCATCATCTCTTCTCAGGTGTTCTGGATCCAGACTGAAGCTTGTGTAAATCCTAGTTACCACGGGATGTCAATCCGTGGCAAAAACAGAGAAACAAATAGACATAATTAGCGTAGCTGCTGTTCCAACCAAGCAAAATGTATTTGTTTAACCCAAACTAAAGAATAATAATATGCATTTGATCAGATATAACTGCAGTACAAGATTATGATATGCATTATGAATGAACAGAATGGATGTGTAAAGATCAGGAGTGAGGCTTTAAAGAAGGATATCTTCAGATTATGACGTGCAGGCCTGCAGTTGGCCCAGAGGATGCTGAGAAGTCAGTGCTCGGGTTATTGTTAAGATTAAAGCATGGCTGGTGAGTGGCTAGTAAGCTCTGGTTATGTCTCTATTTTATCAGCTTTAATGGAATTCCACTTTGAATGTTTTTTTTTAAACAAGCCTCTGCATGGATAGACCTAACAGTTGTGGCAGGATCATACGGAACTCTGAATTTGTCTTAAAGGAGTAAACCCTGTGGTAAGACATCTTATCATTTATCCTGAGAATATTATACCTTACAGTATAAAATACAGTGGAAATAATATCATGAGCAGTACACAATGCTATTTATTCTTTTTATCATGCTTATAAAAATATTACAGAAATCAGTGGAACTTATTTTTTTATGATTCTTGTTAAAGATTAAATATACAGTATATATATGTGCAAAATATGTGATGCGACTAGCCTATATATAAAAAAATTCAGAAGTTTGTGTCTGTGAAACCGTTCTTTCTCATTAAGCCTGTCAGAGAAGGAGACCACCAGACTGCAAAGATGAAAGTGAAGTGGACAAAATTAGGAATGGTCTTCTTTCTGCTTCTCTCCTTTGTAATGACGGGCTGTTTCATTTGGCAATACAGACTTCCCAAAGCAAAACCAGGTAAATTAAAATCCAAATTAAAAGTGCTACTGTACAATAGAAAGATTGGGGAAAAGGCCATCAAACCTCAATGAATGAATGGCGAATGCTTATTTTGAAAAAAGGAGGCATTTTTCTCACAAAAATAAAAAATCTTGTTCTTATTCTTTTTTTTTTTTTTTTACTTAATGGTTAGAAATGCCTGACAGCATTTACAGCTTCAGGGAACATACTTACATTTTTTTGCTTTTCGATCTCCTTGTGCTTAATTAATGGTTTGCAGGAGTTGTCTATGGATTACCCAGAGCTCGACATAGTGGCTTGTAGATTACTGCGTGCTGTAAAGCCTGATTATCACTGGGGGGAAGGGAAAAACAACTTTGTGTAAAATACATTATTATGGACTGAACACCAGCCCCCATGCTCCATTTCATGTCAAATGCACTATATTATATAATGATAAATGACATATGAGTGATTCAGGCATTAGCATGCTATTTTATGTTCAGCCCCAATGTTTTGTGCTGCCTTTAATTGTTAATAATTGTTGTGCTTACAAATGAATGTGAGTCACACTGACAGTATTATATGTTTACATATTTGTCATAGCGTACATATAATCTTTTTACTTTGCAGTGGATAAAAGTTATGCAAAAGAAGTGAAAGAGGAGAAGATGTGCCCACGTTTCCCTGAGCCTGTGCCATTGGAGCACCCGATACCTGTCCTCATGGAAGCTTTGGACAAGGTCAGACCGCCAAGTCATTTACAAGTTCTTTTGGTCTGGATTCCTGACTAAAATTGTCTGATGCTGATAAATAAGTTTGAAAACTATTACAAATATGATTTACTCCAGGTGGATGCACTTTTGAGGACCAGCACTGATGCCACAAAACTGCCAGCCATCTCTGCCATTGTAATATTTAATGATTCTGTATTGTGGAATGGTAACTTTGGCAGAAGGAATGGAAGTGACCCCACATCTCCCCCAATAAATGAGTACACAATTTACAGGTGGGTTATAATGGCTTTGTTATGATTTGATGATTATGATCCACCTTCTCTGGCTTAGGGGTGTTTCACGATTAATTAAAGTTTAAATAACAGGGCATAATTCAACTATGTATTCTTTTTACATAGGCTATACCAGGGTTCCTCAAATCTTGCCCTGGAGGAAATAATTATATGTACAGTGTATAATATAAAATTGTGTGCATATACACACACACACACACACACACATATATATACTACTTTTTATTTGTTTGTATTATTCAGTGCTGGACATATCTTTTGCTGTTCATTTAGAAGTTAATCTTTAAAAACATTAAGATTTTAATGACACTGTTAAAAAAAAATCTTTGTCAAATGTATCATTTTTTTTATAATGCTACAATATTATTGTAATGGTGTAGCATTCAAAATGACTGATTTATAGTTTTATAGTTTTAATTTTTTATTTAATTTAGTCAGAATAGTATGTATTTTTAATATCTGCCATAGCCATAACATGAAAATAATCAGCTTGAAAATTAATATTGGTGCATCCCCAATAATTTTACTTTTAAATTGCAAGCTTCAGAATATTAAAATATCTTTGATGATGAATTTTTGATAAGGCTGATAAGGTAACACCATATAAAATAAATGGGGGAAAAAAAATAAAAACTGTATATTTTGGATTCATCATTGATTATAGGTTTACCCAGGCGGCTCTGGGCAACTACTTTACTGTGGAAAGGCAACACTCAGGCTGCTGTGGATTTATTACAAGATGATGTTCTCGTGGCTGACCCTGGAACAAAGTAAGCTAGTACAAAGATAGTATATTTCCCTCTTCAAACTTGTATTGAGAGGATGTTTAATGAATGAGAGGAGGTGTAAATAATTAATGACGGCAGATGCAATTAATGCAATTGTGGATTCTCCCTAGAGGAAGTAATTCTAGTCCTCTGCTGTCCTCAGATGCCACTACAGCAACCTGGCCTTCTCCCTGCTGGCCCACGTGATGGCGGAGAAGGTAGCGGGGATGGATTATCAGCAATGGGTGTCTGAAAATATCCTGCAGCCGCTGGGAATGGAGGACACTGGATTCGAAATCACCTCTCAAATAGAGAAACGAATGGCGATTGGTGTTTACTCAAGTGGGCATCCCGCACCCCTCTATGACCTTGGCTGGTATAGACCATCAGGGCAAATGTACTCCACACCTGCAGACATGGCCAAACTGGTGATGATGCTCCTGGGCGCATACTACCACCCGGTTCTCCAACCTGACACCCTCAAAACCATGTTAACTCCTCTGTTTCGCTGTGAAAATAGCTACTTTGTTGAACAAACTGGCACACCGTGGGAGGTCAATGAACAGTTGGGCTATGACATAATCCGCAAAGATGGAGATCTGGATGGTTATTCGGCCTCAGTCTCCCTTGTTCCTCGCTTGAAGCTGGGGTTGGTCACCCTAATGGCTGGAACCAAACCTGAAGATGAGGATCTGGTGGTTAAAGTCTACAGTTCACTCATCCCTGCCATGGAAAGTGCCTTCAGAGATGCACCTCGTGTTCTCATTCCTACTCCGGACCCTGTTCCCTACATAGGTTACTTTACTTATAGCAATATAACGTTCTATGAGATCAATGCAGACGCAGATGGAGTGCTGTCTCTGGAGCAGTTTGGACCTCAAGCAGACACAATGGTTCCCATGAAGTACAGAATTTTGAAACTCAGTTATCTGCAGGATAGGGTGTTCAGGGTGGTGTTTGAGAAGGAGTACCCATGTCAGCTCAAAGTTAACGCTGCTTCGGTGTCTCTTGAATCTCAGGATGGGCAGCTTTTTAACTTTTACATCTTTAACAAAAAGGGGCTCTCACCAGGTTTTGATGTCCCAGGGTTAAACACTTATAAAGTCACACGGATAATTCGCAAACCGATTTTCAGTGGTTGAAGAAATCATTTGATCATGCTTTTGAGTTAATAAGCTAAAAGATGCTCTTTAGGATGAAAGTGTCAAATTCTGAGGAACTTCAAACTATGATTGTGTACATTTTAATAAACTTTTGTCTCAAGATGCTGAATGTATATTTAGAATACTTTTTCTTATTTTTATTTTGACCATTTTAAAAATGGTAATAGTATCTCCTGCTGTTGTTTTCCCTTTCTTCAGAGGAATATCTATACACAATTGACAACCGTCCATTCATTTATGTGTGTTTCTAAGAAGCTTGAACTGTGTGTCTTAATTAAAAGTAAAGTGTGTGCCTTCCCTAAGCATTTGCACCTGTGCATCAGTTTCCAAAGTACCCAATTTTGTGTAACCCTGATCAGCACATTGCTGAGTTCAGCTAGAGGTAGTTAAAAGCATATTTCATCTCTAATACTAATGTATTTTTTTCTAAACATTTTATTTGTCTTTAAATGCAAACCAGTGTAAAGGCCCATTCACATCAAGGATGATAACTATAATGATAACTATACGGTTTTAAGCAATTTAATTGTATGAGAAAAGGGAAATCCATAACACAAATAAAATGATATTGACACAGAAACAATATCATTGGAATCACTTTCAGAACTATTTTTCCCAGCTGATGAACACTAAAAACGTTCACAACCAATCAGAATCCACCTGACTCTATAGCATTTAAAGGTTCAGATAACAAAACTGCAGCGTGTGATTAAAACAATGTTATGGTGAGTTGATGTGGATGCTAATACAGTTACTGTTATATTTTTCTTTATAGTTATCATTCTTGGTGTGAACAGGCCTAATTTTAGCATCTTGATTTTTATCGATAATGTAAATGTTGTTTTTCTAAATCAATATATTTTACACAGTATTGTATAGCCTATGTACTAACCTAAACAAATAAAATACATATACTTAAATATCTATAGTGAGTTGAATTACTGAAATAAATGAACTTTTCCACGACATTCTAATTTATTGAGATGCACCTGTATATATATATATTCTCCAAAATTTGAGATGTTAACATAATAATAACCAAACTTTTTTAAACATTTCATAATGTTTCTTAACTTAATGGGAAAATTAGCAAAACATATTAGAATATAGAATAATTGTTGCAATGTACAATGTAGAAAAACAAGATATACTTAAGAAACAAATTGTGACTTACCAATTAAAAATACATTTATTTGTGCACACAAAGTCCATCAAAGGCCTGAACATTTGAGCTAACATATGGTCTTGCTGAGATAAACACTAGCTGTAATCCGCTGTCATTGCCCTGTTGTTTCTTGGGAATCAAGTCTTGAGGATACTGACAACTGGGAAAATCAAGCTGTACATAACTGCTGACCTACAAATCTTCACAAATCAATATGTTAGAGGATAGTTCACAAGTAACCATAAACTGAGCAACCGAAAAATAAGTGACCTGGAATATTGTACTGTACCTTTCTATTATCCAGCACAATAAAAGTGTATAACACAGTTAATCATCTTACAATTTATGACATCTTCCAAATCAGGGAGAAAAGAAAAAACACAAACACTTTAGACTAAGAAAAAAATTGTTACCAGTCATCCTCTTCATGCTTAAGGCGTTCATCTTTTGGGATATTCAAGTCAATGTTTTACATCTTGATTATGGAATCCTCCAGAAATTGCATGTACCATGTAAGATTTGACAAAAGTAAAGAATGGCTTTAACATTAATACATTTATATTAATAAATAGGCTACCAATTGATTGAGATTGAGCTCACTTTCTCTATGGAGTCAATCAGGCTATTCCTTTTATGGATAAAAATGTGTTGAAAGTATGTGATTGGTTACAAGAGAGCATTATTAATTTATAAATTATTACTACATTATGAAAATTATACCGTATATATAGAGACTAGGCTATATGTCAGTCTCTGAACTGCGTGTCCAGCTGTGGACGCAAGATGCCACTGTAACACCACAAATAGGGGCCGAACCATAAACACGAAAAGGTTTGCAATTTTATATGTACACATACAGCGATGCCATTTAAACCGCAATTTTTTTTTAATCTAAAGCCATTCTTTTTGGCTGTTACAGCGTTTATTATTATATCCTTGGCTGACATCCAAGTAGGTTATGATTTCCGGATAGTGCATTCCGTACGTCCGTATACACTCGTTGCAAATTCCACTCTCCGAAGTGTCACGAAAACACCCGAAGTAAAACGAAAGGTCGGTCCTGTAGGACTGCTGGAGGCGGCCACTGCGCCATGTTGAACGGAATCCTCACACTCCGTGGAGATACTCTCGTCAAAGAGCAGTTGTAAACAAAGTGTTATTAATTTTCCAAAAGGGGGCTCGCCTGTCAAGATCGCCCTGGCAAAAAGAGGCCAACTAGATCCTCGGAAACCCCGGCCGGGGAGGGGGAACAGCCCCCCAACCTTCAGCAATGAAGATAAACCACAATAAGCGCTAGCTGGCTAACCTTAGCCTGCTATTCTATCAATAATCTAGCTAGCCCGTTAGCTCAAGCTTTTCTATTCGCTCAGACACCGGCAACCTGCTCCTAGAAGACCCGCTGTTGACGTAACTCGCCAGCAATATTTTTTCTTACGTGGACAGTTTAGCCGCTAGCTAATTTATTATTGTAAATATCTGTAAAGCCGTGCGTTTGCTTTGTTTTTTTTTGTTTTATTTGCGATGAGCTTGCCGCCGAAAGCGGTGCCGAAACCAGCCGCTGCTGCCGCCGCTGGAACTGGACCTGGAACCGGACCGCCACTCTCGAGTCAGCTGCGGGCCACCCTGACCCCAGTGCCGCTACCACAGGGGACGCCGGTGCCTCAACAGCCGCAGACACAGTATCCTTCTCTGAAAGCATCTTGCTCCATCACAAATCTGTATCTGTGGTTGTTTAAAAACATAGTGAGCCGCCTATCTGGATAGCGTTTTTTAAACATCATAGGCATTCAATTAAATCTGTATATGATGCCCAAAACTGCTGTCTAGGCAGGCGGGCCACTAGGTTTTGACAGCGCTAGAGTGTGTTGTACTGTGTACCGGCTAATACCGGCTTTGATTTGGTTTGGTTGTGGCTTAAGTCAGGTTTTGTTTCTTGAACACGGAGGTGCTAGTACGTTAGTGTAGTAACAGTGTTTAAAGTTATGTGGCTTTCAAAAGCCGAGCTGTCAACCCGCAGCCGGTTTGGGCTGATCCGGCCGTGTGCTAAAGCTAGCTATCCTTTTCTGTTTCGCTTGAAATAAATATTTATATATTTGTGTCATGATTTACTCACTCTTTATGCTGGTATAAACCAGTGACTGAATTTCCACTGCGTAACACGTTAGAAATGTTAGTCAGAATGACAGCCTCTGTCACCATTTACTGCATCTGTTTCAATACAGTGACAGTGAATGGTGACTGAGTCTGTCTTTCTGACTAAAAATCTCATTAGAGTTAGTAAATTGTGACAGAGTTGTATTTATTTATTTACTTTGGATGAACTATCCCTTTAAGCCATTGCACCACAGGTGAATAGGGTAAATTAGATATCACCATACTTACCTTTTTGATTAATTACAGTGTATTGTTAAGACACAGTACATGTTTTGCTTTACAAGTTTTCTGAAATGTTGTGTTATTATGCAGATTAGGCATTTCATTAAAGCCAGGATTAATGCCAGGATGTTTGGGGTATCTCTTATCACTCAGAAAATAAATCCTATCAATACTGCCAAAAGTCAGAAAAAAATCAATGTTTCCCGTTTTTAATGTTATATAAATCAGGTGACTGATATATGAACTCTATAAAAACCTTCAGATTATAGATAAGAATAAAACTAAAGTCCAGTGTAAATAATTGCTACTGAGTGGAGATTTCTGGTTCAGTGCGAGATTTTTAATATTTTGTATTTTAATGCATAATGTTATGCGTATAGTGCAATTTGGAGAAAATGTATAGTGTTTACTTTGTAAAATGTGCATTTTGTTTTTCCTTTGGTCTGAATGAAGACATTTTATGTAAGCAAAATGTCCCAAAATCTTAAACTTGACAAGTGCATAAAAAAACAACGACTTAAAAGGATTTTCACCCTAAAAAAATCAAATTCTGTCATCATTTACTCTGAAGTTGTTCAAATACTATGGAAGTCAATGGCTGCCATCAACTGTTTGGTTACCAACATTACTCAAAACATATTCTTTTGTGTTCAGCAGAAGAAAGACACTCTTACAGGTTTGGAACGATTTGACAGAATTTTCATTTTTTGGATGAACTATTCCTTTAAGATTGTTTTACATCTTGGTAAGCTATATGCTGCCCACATCATATACCGCTTATATCTCTTCCTTACAGTTAGTTAGGGTGGACTAAACACTGTTCGGGTTATATGTTTTCCCACAGAGATAAACTGCCATACTTTTGCTTGCCCTCAATGTCTTGATATTTCTTTATGGCTCTAAAGCTTAACGCCCTTCTGTTGTAACTGTCTGTGTCCCTCTGTCAGCATCTTGGTTGCTGGTCAAACAAGCTGCTGTTTGACTGTGTGGGTTTACAGGGCAGTTTTTGTATATCTGACTTCTACTGTAACTTCCACTTGTCATCATAAGCAAGTAAATATCTTGACATGTTGGTTTGGCATTTGCAATGAGTCGCTTAAATCTGTCTAATTGTTTTGGGGAGTTAAAATAACAGGGCTAAAGACTAAATTAGACTGTGTACATGGGAAAATAGTGCTAACAATGCATAATAATACAGTCAGAGACAATGATGGCTTTTAAATAATTGTGGGAGATTCCCCAAACGCATTTACAGTTAATGCTTTCTGTTTCCTTTTTTGACTATGTAAAAAAATGTATCCCCAATGGACTGGTTTCATGTACTTGTTTATTGACAGGAAATCTACTTGCAAACATTTCCTAGCTGAGAATTATCTGCTATAAGAGATCAACCTTATAGCAACATGTCGGTTTATATTTGGATTTATTGTTCTTCATATAACACTCTGATTTAAGCAGGAGGTGTGTTTATACCATGATTCACTTCATAGCAGAAGAAACTTTTAGAGTGTTTAAAGCAATTGAGGATAATTTTGAAACAGAGAAAACAAGACACTGTGACTGCTGTGTCATTGCAAATGTATATTTTAGTAAATGAGACTCTAGAACTAAAAATAAATCTGCAACCTACAAACCAGTTGAAACTGTGGCTATGAAAGGGTGACGTGGTTTTGGAGCTTGAGCTTATTGTGAAAGTTTCATGGCAGGGCGCCAAGGGAAAGTTAAAATGAGTAACTAACAGCTGTTGTTTTACCCTGGTTACAGTAAACTGTACATTATCTCTGTTTGAACTCTGACTGTGTGTATGTGCCTGTGGTGCAGTGGAGGATGAAGGGTTTCCCCGCCCTCTTAACAATAGCCTGGTTATACAGACAGAACTGAGCGGCTCTGCTGCTGGGCTGGAGATGGAAGACACATCTCCATCCTCTGTACTCCAGCGGCATGTTAATACACAATCAGCTTCTTGTGTATGACAACCTTATTGCAACGGATGATGATTTTCACTTGTGCGAGAACCTGTTTTCTTTGAGGAATCGCACAGTATGGCTCCATCATTCAAAAGACACTC